AAATGTTTAACATATATATAGAAATTTATTTTTTACATAGTACTTTTCTGTCTTTTGTAGGAAAGCTTGTTGGGGTCAAAACTCTCCTGGAATGAAATAACCAGGAAAATGACTAAATATTATTTGCTGGTAAGCTGACTAAGTCAATGTGCAGAATGGCGAGCTGACCAATGAGGGCGAGCTGACTAGGCTGTTTGGCGAGCTGACTAAATCGACAGATAAAGTGGCGAACTGGCTAGGATATTGGCGAGCTGCTTTAAGCGAGTTGAAACAACAAGCTCGCCAAGGGACGATGTGACGAGCACAATTAGTCCAAGACCCAAGACATAAATCGACGAGGTCAGGCCCAAAAGTGATACAAGACGAGCTGAAAGCCCATGAAGAACGAACCGGCCTCAAGAATAGGAAATCCCTAGAAAATAGGAAATATTCCTTATTTCTTTAGGAGTTGGCCTAACCGACCTAAAACTTGTATAAATAGACTTGTACATCTTTTGAAAAAAAGATCCGCAATTTTACTCATAAACACTTAACAAAAAATCAATAAATCTTTTTTTTACAGCTAATTCGCATCTTTGTTCTGGTCTTAGTAGTTCTAACTCAGAGATCTCAGCTTTCCTCTAAAAACCCTAACAAATTCTATTGTGTTGGTTTCGACATCCACAAAGCTATTTGATATAAAACAAAAAAGTATAGTAGATAACAATTTTGCGGATAATCGGAATTTATTTTAAAACACACATTCACATCTTTCCAAACAGAACATGTTAGCTGACCTGACCATAGTTTTAGAAAAAACCGTCGGTTTTATATATCTGCCAAAAATAAAACGCTAATCTAGTACTGTTTAAAAAAAAAAAATAAGACAGCTCCATGAAAAACAACAATAGAATAATTATTTTAAAAAAACATAAGCAACTTATTAATAGAAAGAAGATATTTTGTAAAAAAAATATGTATTATTGGCATGGATAAGACTTCTAAAATCAAATGACCGTTTTAACCTCTTTGCCTATATACAATAAGACAGCTCGCCAAAAACAACAATAAAATAAATCTTTTAAAAGAACATAAGCAACTTATTAATTGAAAATATTCACATGTATCATTTTGTAAAAAAATATGTATTATTGGCATTAATAAGACTTCTAAAATCAAAATGATTGTTTTAACCTCTTTGTCTATATACGCACGCTATATAGAATGGCAATACGTGAAGTTTTTATATGCATAACTGAATTAGTGCCATTTAAACAAAAAAAGAATTAGTGCCATTTCAAATTATTGGTAAGTCATCTTTAAATTTTTATTAAATGTATAATATATACAGTAAAAGAGTTTATTTTTCTTTTAAATAGATAATGATTTGTGTATATTTTAAAAAATTCCAAAGAAATCTTGGTGATTGAATTAGAGTTCTGTTCAACTGATCACTTACAGCTGCTAAAAAAACACTTTGACAATGGTATGAGAGACATGTTGGATAG